CCCCAGACCCCGGTCCCTCTACGATTGGCACATTTGCGTGTGTCCGGAGAAACAGAAACAATGGGCAAGCCAGCAAAGCAGCTGGTGCGGTGTGCGGAGAGACCAGAGGGGAATTTGTGTCGTTGGGCATGCTGCATTGGCGTTGGCGTTGGCGTTGGCGTGGACACCAACGGAGACATAATTTGACATGTTCGTTTGATCGTATCAGCCATGCTTATCAGTTATGACATAGTGTTTTTCTCTGAGCAAACAGGGAGAATGACGCAACGCAATATGGTACGGGGATCGTGGTCGTGGGCGAACCGGCGAAGCAACACAAGAAAGAGCCACTCGCATTCATTCTTCAGTAGCTTACCATCATATACCACGAATGCATCCGTCCATCCGTCCCTTGGGCTTGCATGCATTGGTTGGTTGGAAATATCTATCTATCTCGAGGTCCAGTCAAGTCAACAAAGGATAAATAAATAAAGAGAGAAAGAAAGAGGAGAAAGGAAAGGTGCTCTCTCTCTCTCTCTCTCTCTCTCTCTCAGGTTTCTATCATCTCATGAGAGTCTCAGCTGCTGGCCTCGCCAGTGGCCCAGTGCCAAACTGCCAATCTGCCATCCCTTTGGCCTTTCTGCTCCTCGATCCTTCCTTGGTTCGGCTGTCTCCAACACTAGAACCATCGGAAGATCAAGCCTAAAATAGTTATCTAACATAATATATAATATATATAGCCTCCAACAGAATATCTATATCAAAGACCCAATTTAGATATCATGAGAGGTATAACCTAAATATGAGTATCCTTCCTTCTGAAGACCCATTTGTAGAAAGGGTTCTCTTTTAGTTCTTATTGTTATAGAAGACAAAAAATAGATATTAATCCCTTTGTCCACCTAAATATGAAATAGGTCTTATATTTTTTGTCGTCCGAGACAGTCTCCCCAGCGGGCAGGGCAAGCCTGCTGCCGTGCCCGTGCCGGCTCCAAAAGGAGAAACCACAAGCTGCAACGCATGCTGCAAACCAAAACCAAAACAAAAAACCAGCAGCACGCCAGGGATCTCGTCTTTGAGCCTGTTCGCTTTCTGGACTGATAAGTTCAGCTGGTGCTGGTTTGTTGTGAGAAGAAAACATTATTGGCTGACTGAAACCCACCAGCGAACATGCTGTTCATCTCGCTGCGGTTTTAATTTTTAGGCAGTATACCGCTCTCTGTCACTCTCTGTCTGCCCTGGCCGGCTGCCCCTAAACAAACTCAAAAAAACTAGACGCCGGCATTACCGATTGCTAATTATTCATACATTTAGTCCTGGTTTAGTTGGGTGAATTTGGATTTTGGGCTACTGTAGTACGTTCGTTTTTATTTGGTAAATAGTATTCAAACATAGACTAATTAGGCTCAAAACGTTCGTCTCGCAATTTTCCACCAAACTGTGCAATTAGTTTTTATTTTCGTCTATATTTAATGTTCCATGCACGAGCCGCAAACATTCGATGTGATAGGTACTATAACAACTTTTTGGACTTTGAATCCAGCTAAATAAGGCGTTATTTACGGCGACGTTAAACTACCTAGTACTTATCAGTAAGCTGGATACCAGCAGCTAGTATCTGTGTAGCCTTGTTTTTATTGGGGGCCGTGTGGTAGCTAGGAACGGTTCCGATTCTAGCGTGAAACACTAGAATATTAGAGAGAAACGTTTCTTGCAAGAATCACTTGAATCGTTTCTCGTTTTTTCTGCCTAGGAACCAGAAATGGCCACGGACTGGTTTCTCCTGATTCTGCTTCTCGGTTCCCCTTTGTATTAACAATCACATTTTTTTAGCTAATATTTTTAAACACAAAGAACTAAAATGGATTGTATTTAAGTGGTTCTTTCCCCATTAAAAATGAAAAAATGGCTATTTGCGGCGACGTTAGACTACCTAGTACTTATCAGTACGCTGATACCGACCAGCAGTTAGTATCTGTAGCTTTGTTTTTTTTTCTTTGTTTCGATTCGATTCCAAGGAAGTATCAATAGTAATATAATAATACACGTAGGTCTTGCTATGTGTTATATGATGATGAATCCGTCGTGTAGACAGCTAATAACGAGGTGATAATTGAGCAGGCTTTACTGAATTTAGTTGCTATTTAAGGTGCCAAGTGTAGATACCTATCCTGCCTCACAAACAACGCCACCCTGTCATTTAGGCATTTAGCCCTGTCCTGATACCATCAGGGTCTTCTCTCCTGCTCTGCCGTTTCAACGAGAGCAGGTTCTCTTCCTGGATTCTTCCAGTCTTCATTCTGCTTTGATGTGTGCTGTAGAACTAAGTCGCTATTTCCTTCTCTTTGTTCTATATATGGTGCGGTGGATCTAGTAACTGGTGTTAGTCTCTTCTTGATAACGGTAGCTGGTCTTAGTTACCTTGGGCTACACAGCTCTCCTTACTTGTTCATCCCTGTTTGTGCATTAAGCTATAGCCTCTGAAGTACTGAATATTTACAGGTGATTTAAATTCTCTTGCTTTACAACAAGGTTTTAGTTTCTGAAGAGAAAATTAATGCCTCATGGTTAGGTTCTAAGTTGCACACATCATGTAAGGCCGGCGGAACTTGAATTAAGAGTGAAAATGTGTTCTAGAGTAAAGTTTGAGTTTATGGAGATGGTTACATATTTGTTCAGGTACTGTTATGCTGTTTCCTTAGTAATCATGGCCATGATGCAACTCCATTTTTTGAGGAAAATTCATGATGCTACTTTGGAAGCACAAGTTTCGATTGTGTCCTGCTTTTCTCTGAGGAAAGGGATGCTTGATCTCTGATTAGAGTGTCCTAGGAGAAAATTTGAATTGAATCATTCTTTTTTTTAACGCAATGGCAGGAGCTCTGCCTTTCAATTAAGATAGGGAAAGAAAGTTTATGTACAAGCAAGGACAAACGAGATTATGGTTTCAACCCCCCCCCCCCCATCAGCGTGTAAGCTAAACATAATCGAATGCTCTCTTCCTTTGCTCTATGTCTTCCTTTATCCTTGCAGCTACTTGCGGCACCGTTTCTATCTTATTGTCGAAAATTCTCCTATTTCTCTCTTTCCATATATTCCAAAAGGTGTAGATTACCACCCCGTTAAGCCGCCTACGCTCAGATCTTGGCACTTTCGTTGCCGCGTCTTCCCACCATGACCTGATATGGGTGGGGTCTACCTGGGGCTGTTGTTGCAGTTGAGTGAAGTTTTCCCACGAGGGGATTTGATCCCAAACCGCCTTAGCAAAAGGGCAACAAAGGTATAGGTGGAGGCATGTCTCTAAGGGACCGTTGCACAACACACATTGTTCTTAGTGTGGCCACCCTCTCTTTTATAGGTTTTGTGCTGTTAGAATTTTATCTTGCACTAAGATCCAGGCGAAGATCTTGCATCTGTTCTCCACATGCGCTTTCCAAATCAAGTCCATACGGAAGGGGACGAGCGAACCTCTGAATTGGATTCTGTAGGCCGAGCGGGTGGAGTAATTCCCATCCTTGGTCCAACGCCAGGTGATGGTGTCCTAGACGCCCTGTTGTAGGTGCACATCCTGTATTCGTATCCAAAGGGACACAAACTCCTCTATGTGGATAGCCAAGGTGATTTTCCTTGCTAGCTTATGCATCCAATTGTTGTTCCGAAGCTCTTGTTGCACCGTTCGGTTTGTCCTTGAGACTAGGCGGAACAAGTTCGAGGCTAGGTACCTAGGAGCTTGTCCATCAAGCCAACTATGGTGCCAAAACTTAATCTTTGCACCGTCCCCCAAAGATATAATGATTGAGGAGTTGAAGAGGAGGCGATCATCATCAGAATATGGAAGCTCCGAGCCGCTCCAAGACTTGGAATCGTCCACCCATTCTTGCCAAAGCCATCGCAACCGGAGGGCTCGCCCAAATCTTTCAAGGTCAAGGACGCCTAAACCGCCAAGGTCTTTTGGTCTGGTAACTGTTTGCCAGTTAACTAGGCAGTGTCCGCCATTAGCATTCTCCTCCCCCTTCCACAAGAAAGATCTCCTGATTTTGTCGATCTTTTTTTTAGCCCAAGCGGCCAGAGGAAACACTGTCAGGTGATAGGTTGTCATGGAGGAGAGGACAGAGGTTACAAGAGTGAGGCGTCCCGCTCTGTTTAGCCATCTTCCTTTCCATTTGGGTAGCCTGTGCCCAATACGATCTATGAGAGGTTGCACATGGATCCTTTGCAGTGATCTAATGTGGAGTTGCAGCCCCAAATATTTGCATGGGAAGCCCCCTCTAGTACCAGTGAAAGGTGACAGGACTTGGTCTAGGTCGACGTTTGCACAACCGATTGGATGCACTGAGCTCTTTTGTAGATTAATATGGATTAATATGGAGTCCGAGAATGTGCCAAAAGCTTGCAGGATGATTTTGACAGCTTCTACATCGTCTTTTGTGGGGCTGATAAAAATGGCCGCATCATCTGCATACATCGAGATTCTCCATTTTGCCGCCGTGATTGGTAAGGGGGTGAGTATCCCATGTTGGGTTGCTAGGTCAAGCAAACGTTGAAGCGGGTCCATAGCTAGGATGAATAGCATGGGTGAAAGCGGATCTCCTTGGCGGACGCCTCTGGCATGGCTAAAAGTGGCCCCCTGCCGCCCATTCAGCATGGGTGTCGAGGTGGATGTACGTAGGAGGATAGAGATCCATTCACGCCATCGCTGTCCGAAGCCCAGAGCCTGCAGAATCTCAAGCAAGTACCCCCAATGTACCGTATCAAAGGCTTTGTGGATGTCTAGTTTCATGAACAAAGCCGGTATCTTCTGCTTGTGTAATCTTTTTACCGCGCCCTGGACGTAAAGAAAATTATCATGGATGCTTCTCTTTTTTATAAATGCGCTCTAGCAGTTGGAGACGAAGGAGTTCAGTTGAGGGGCAAGTCTGTTAGCTAACACTTTGGAGAAGATCTTTGCAATGCCATGGACTAGGCTGATGGGTCTAAAATCAGTAACTCTTGTTGCATCAGCTTTTTTCGGTTGAAGGATAATGGAAGCCGAGTTTAGCCATTCGAAGCCTTGGGCATTCAATGTGAATAGGTTGTTCATGGCTGCCATAACATCATCTTTAATGATTTTCCAACAAGCTTTGAAGAAGGCACCCGTGAAGCCATCCGGTCCTGGCGCTTTGTCGGAAGGCATGGAATATATAGTGTTTTTTATCTCGTCCCGGGAGAAAGGCACCTCTAGATCGGAGAGATCATGTTGGTTGTAGCCAAGGGATTGCCAATTGATTGTGGAAGCTCTCGGAGCCGCGGAGCCAATGTGGTTTCTAAAATAATCTTGTATCACCTTTTCTTTCTCTTGATGAGACACCGCGATTCCCCCATCCGTATGTAGACAATGTATGTAATTCTTTCTCCGTCGTGCATTGACTCTACCGTGGAAAAATTTTGTGTTAGCATCTCCACACCGGATGTATGTTAGCCTCGATCTCTGTCTGATTCTTGATTTTTCAATGGCAGCGAGCCCAGTGCTACGGGGAATTGAATCATTCTGGTACTACAGTTCTCCTATGTGCACAAGTTTAGATGGAGTTTTTCTGCTTTACTTTGAGGAAAGTGATGCTTGTTCTCGTTGTGCCTAAGGAGAATACTTGATTTAAAGCATTATGCCTTGCCTAGTTTCTATAGTAATCTCACTGCAGATCTTCTTTGCACCTTTTTCAGTACTAAAATGGCTTTTATGATACATGAAACATTCACGTGCTACATGCCATTCACTTTGTTCTTTGTGACGCAGTGAACCTTAAATCGTCTTAGTCTTAGGTACCTTACGCTGACCACAGAGTAGTTGCTATTGCCAGCACTTAATCTCAATTGCAGGGCTTATTCACACTATTCTCAGTACTAACTACCAATTTGGCTTTATGATTTATGAAATGTTCAGGTGCCAGCAGAAGTGATCCGTGGACTGCAGCTATGGGCAACCTGTGTTGCTGTGTTCAAGTTGACCAGTCGACTGTGGCCATCAGGGAGCAGTTTGGCAAGTTTGACAGCGTGCTTGAGCCAGGATGCCACTGCATGCCTTGGTTTGCCGGGAAGCGTGTAGCTGGTCATCTCACACTCAGGCTGCAGCAACTGGATGTGCGCTGTGAGACCAAAACAAAGGAATGTCGTGCTTACCCTTCATTTTTTATGAGCAAAGAGGAGAGCTGTCAATTTGATGCAGCATTAGTTTGAGAGCATGAAATTAATGATGCTCTAATCCTTTCTGGGTTATAAAGCTTGACAAAAAGTGTTATAAAAGTAATCTAGGACACTGTTCCAGGATTGATGGTGAAACAAACTAGATGCTTCTGAAAGCTTGTACTCTGTTGATTTGATAAGTTCTTTCAATTTATAGATCAGATGCATGTTAACCTGCCTTGAGAATACAACACTGATATGAATACTGCATATGCAGAAGGTTTTTACTGCTTGCTCAAAAAATAAATGCAAAAGCTTTGTTCACATCTAGTTTAGTATCTGAATGGTGATAAATGATATTGAATTGCCAATTATGGTAATGCTGCTAACACCTGAAGTTGTGCAGGACAATGTCTTTGTCAATGTGGTGGCATCTATTCAGTACCGCGCTCTGGCTGACAAAGCAAGTGACGCTTTCTACAAACTGAGCAACACAAGGTCCCAGATCCAAGCTTACGTCTTTGACGGTAGGAATTCTTAGAACAACTGAAGATTTAACATATCAGACACCACTTTGTCTATATCTATGTGCTGTTTTTTTTCCCTGTTGTTAATTTGTGGAAGTATATATCTGGAATTGCTCATGCTATCCTATTGCTCATGGTGATGTCTGTGGTTGCTGTCAACAGTTATCAGAGCAAGCGTTCCCAAGCTCCATTTGGACGATGCTTTCGAGCAGAAGGACGAGATTGCCAGGGCGGTGGAGGAAGAGCTTGAAAAGGCCATGTCGGCTTATGGCTTTGAGATCGTGCAGACTCTCATCGTGGACATCGAACCAGACGAGCATGTGAAGCGCGCAATGAACGAGATCAACGCAGGTTCGTCGGTTGACGCTTAACAAGCTATAAGAACTACTAGACATAATGACCAGCTTTGTATCTATCATATGCTGACACTGACACTCTAGTGGTTGCTGTTGCCCTTTCAATTTGGCAGCTGCGAGGCTGAGGGCGGCTGCAAACGAGAAGGCAGAGGCGGTGAAGATCGTGCAGATCAAGCGTGCTGAGGGGGAGGCAGAAGCCAAGTACCTGTCCGGGCTGGGCATTGCGCGGCAGCGGCAGGCGATCGTGGACGGGCTGAGGGACAGCGTGCTGGGGTTCTCCGTGAACGTGCCCGGGACCACCGCCAAGGACGTCATCGACATGGTGCTCATCACCCAGTACTTCGACACCATGAAGGAGATCGGCGCATCGTCCAAGGCTTCGTCGGTGTTCATCCCGCACGGTCCCGGTGCGGTGCGCGACATCGCCACGCAGATCCGCGACGGCCTTCTGCAGGGCTCCTCTGTCACCCAGCACTAAGCTGCCGTTGCTGACTGGAGCAGCATGATCATTTCAGGAGCTTGGTACCTATACGTATATATGATCTCATCAGTCAGACCAGTGTGATGCTTGTCTATATTGTTCATCACTCATCAATGTTTCTCTGGAGCTGGGGTGATCAATGTGTGGAACATATATAGTGCTCTTAAGAACCATCTGCTACTGCTAGGATGGTTATCTTGATGCATGGGGATTGGAGAACCTTTATCTAACCTTTTAGGGAACCGATAATATCATAAATATAATTCAGCATGAGTTTGCAGTATGTTCATGTGTCATGTATGTTGCCTGAATTCAGATGTTGCTGCCGGTGAACATGTTGGTGCAGAATGTTGCCAGAACGAGAAGGACCTGCCACTGTTGCCACGAGTAAAGAGTGAATGATACACATGAACAGTATGGGGCATCGTAGCACAGCATAGAGTTGCTTTCGAACACCCTAACATGAATGGTGACACTGATGACTGAAGAGCCTCTTGTTGCTCGCTTACTTGCTTTAACCCCTTTCTCTTTAATTCATGTCTAACCCCAAATCCTACGAATCAATGATATACACAGCCACCAATGCTGTGGGGGCCAATCTCAAAAAAGATAAAAATTGAAAGGGAAAGGAAAAACTTTTTTTAATCGAGGGGAGCCAAAATCTTGACCAGCTGAGCTGAGCTCCCCCGTCTCCAGCTTTACTTAACCACACCATGTACAACTCTAAGTTAAGAGCTAGTAGTAACAGCTAAACCTCTGCCACAAGAATCTAATCTGTCCGTAGATGCAGGTAACCTCCCCATCGATATCACCGTGAAAAGTCTCTTGCCCGGTTTTCATCAAAAAAAAAAGTCTCTTGCCCGGTTGACTATGTCACAAGTCACAACACAGAAGCAGAAGCAGATCACAGCATCACAAATTACCCGCCTCTCCAATTTCCTAATCTTCAGTTCAATCGTATGGGGACAATGACAAGTCAATCACCGGAGCTCTACTTGCCATTGGTCCTCGGCGTCGGCGACTGCAGATACGGAGAAGGAGAACCATGGCCGTGGCCGCCATGGGAGAGGCTCCTCACCTGCTGCTGCCCGTTCCGAGTTGCAAAGCTGCCGTGCTGGCTCATGCTCCGGCTGCCACTCGGGTAGCCAAGCCTTGCAACCTGCTCTGCTTGCAAGGACAGGTACAGGCCGGGTGAAGATGCCACCATGTCTTTGAGGTCCGGGAGAGGCTTGAGGATCTCCACGACCTGGCTCATCAGAGGCCTGACCTTGGGATCCCGGGCGAGGCAGGCGCGGGCCAGCTGGGTCACCTTGTAAGCGCCTTTCAGGGAGATGTTTCCACCAAGTTTAGGGTCCATCAGGCTTTGGAATCCTTGTCTCTGTTTCAGATGCGGCCGAGCCCATTCTACAAGGTTGTGATCCCCTGCTGGTCGGTTCTTGTCCATTGATCGCCTGCCTGTTATGAGCTCCAGCAGCACCACCCGAAAGCTGTACACATCGCTCTTGGAGGTCAAGTGACCTGGAAATGGTAATAGTTTAGCAATGCATAGAACAGTACTGAAAACTAGGAATTAATTCTGTTTATGCATGCAAACTATGCAGTCACTTCAGTATGGTACTCGTTTGAATGGTGTTTATTCTATACCATGCCCACAATGTGTACATGTCATTCAGTTTGGTAGTTTGAATGGCGTCCAACCAAAATTTTGAAATCCAAAGCAGAGAATTTAGTTCAGCCCAGTGCCACCCCTGTATGATGCTTCTCTGACCACTTAATATAGCAACAAACTTGACAGCTAGTGCACAACCTAGAGTGCACATGGGAACCATAAATATCTGTAATCACATAATACAAAGATGGTGTGGCATAGTACATGCGATAAATGTGTCAGTGCAGATATAACACCTCTGCATACAGACTGCATCTTTCTTGTCAAATCGCTACAATGTTTAGGCTGTGTTTAGTTCACGAATTTTGAGAATTTGGTACTGTAGCACTTTCGTTTTTATTTGGCAATTAGTGTTCAATCATGGACTAATTAGACTCAAAACGTTCGTCTCGCAATTTCCAGCCAAACTGTGCAATTAGTTTTTTTTCATCTACATTTAATGCTCCATGCACGTATCGCAAGATTCGATGTGATGCCTACTATAGCATTTTTTGAGAAACTTTTTGGGAACTAAACGTGGCCTTAGTCAAGGACCACCATCTGTCCATCCCTATGTTTTGGGAACAATATTTTCAACCTAGATGACTAGCTATAGTTGACATACCAACGGTCACTAACACCTTTTATATAGCCGGATATTTTTTTTGAACGAAATTAATATACCCGGAATAGATATAGATAGCACAGTAATTTGCAAATCAGTAGACATCTTGATATACAAGTTTCAGCATATGCTCAGTAGGATGACATCAATAGTTTGCAAGCTCAAAGTTACCCAACCAACAAATTCAATTATTTTTACTAAAAAAAAGAACAAAGATCACCTTACCTGTCATAACATATTCAGGCGCAGCATACCCATAGGTTCCCATGACTCGCGTTGACACGTGGGTCTTATCACCTATGGGACCATCTCGAGCAAGCCCAAAATCAGAAAGTTTCGCATTGTAGTCCTGGATGGAAGAATATGTTGAACAAAGGACAAACATGAGGATCTAAAAAAAAAAGGTAAATGTGTTTCACTTAAAAAAAAGGTAAGGCATAAAAATGATATATACTGTGTCAAGTAGAACATTGGAAGTTTTGAAATCCCGATAGATCACAGGTCTTTCAGCTTCTTCGTGAAGAAAGGCAAGGCCCCTTGCTGCGCCCAGTGCAATTTTCATTCGTGTGGACCATGGAAGTGGCACTGACTCTATTTAATCATAGTTATTGCACAAAACAATAAGTTAATTGACATCCACCATAAATATAAAGGACGTACCCAGTGCAGAGAGCTCCCGGGGAAAAGCGTCAGTGGCAAGCCTTACCCTCGCCTGTGCAATGCGAGGAGACCGCGACTCGAACCCAGGACCTTCCGGTCACAGGCGGTAAGACTCTATCACTTGCACCAGGCACGCCCTTCACATCCACCATAAATATAAAAACCAAAATGAATTTCAGTGGATCAAGCATTACACAGTACCAATATTTGGAGAAATTAACACAAAAGTGGGAAAAAAAGAGAGTGGCTAACAGCTAACAAGTGACAACCAGCAAACTTCATGGGTCAATGCATTTCAAGACCTTCCCCATTAAAAGAAAAGAAAATGTATTTCAATACCTAACCAGCAAATTTTTTTTGAGCATGATAACTAGCAAACTTCAGGGGTCATGAGCTACCATTATAGCTGCCTGCAGTCACAAAATGATTTTGACAAGAAAGGGGCATATTTTCATCCAAAGTTTGTAGTCTATGATAGCTGAGAAAAGAAAAAACTGTAAAATATATCATAAAAAGGCATATTATAAGCTCTAGTCTCAGGGTCAAATATAGCATGATACGTGCTACTCTGTCCAGGTCAATAGATGCCAATTTTCTGAAGCAACAAATATAAAAAAAATAGATGGCACTTTGCGCAATGCAACCATTTGCAATATAAGTTCTTCCACAATACATTGACTTTTGAAATGACCAATTCAGATAACTCATCGACTTAGGAAGCTAGCAACATATGCTTAAAATAAAGACGTAACAGATGCCAGATGCTTACTCCTGAAGAGATGGTGCTCTAAACTTCCACGGGGCATAAATTCATGTACTAACTGCCTCTGATTATCCTCAAGGCAATAACCAATCAATTTCACCAGGTTCGGATGTTTCAGATTTCCTAGAAAGTTGACCTCTGCCTGAGAAAACAAAAGGTCCATTTAAGATTTGAATACAAAGAATGTTAGTTCAAACCTCTATGTATCAAAGACAAGTAAAACATACCACCCACTCTTTGTGCCCTTGCTGCCCATCGCGATTGAGGGTCTTGACAGCAACAGTTAACCCTGTGCCGGGTCTCCCAGGATACTATTTTCCAAGCATGAGGCAACAAGCTAAAATAGATGCTTTGTTCATAAAAAAAAAAGATGTTTTCTGAAACTAAACAGAAGGAAATACACCTTCATTCGTGTCATTAATGGCTCGAAGCAAAATTATGGTGCCCAGTGCTTCCTACACGTAAATTCCAATTAATTCCCCAAAAATGCAGGTCCTAGCATGAGCTCGTGGATAAATGTCACAAAAGTGTTCCGTTAATTGTGTACAGCTGTACATGCACATCATATTTAGCACAAAGTGTAACGTATGATGAAATCTTGTCGTTGCAAATTCTACGAGCATGAAACACATTTACAATTTTAGCAATACATAGTACAAGTTGGCGAAACATAACCAGTCAAAGATTAATTCCCTACTTTCTTGTTCTTTCCATAGAAAACATAAACCTTAGAACAACATTCCAAACCATGCATACATCTCAGAAAACCAGATTAGCATCGCCCTGCACATGAAACAGTTCCAAACCTACAGCATTGCAAAAAGGCAAGTGAAATAGACACGTACTTGAGCTTGAGCCGCCAATTAATTTACAGGAGCAGTCCAGCATGCCAGGAATGTGATAAGCACAACATTACCATCCCCTAATAGCACAATCTACGAGGCCTACACCCTAATTCCTCCAACCCAAACACCCAAAAAACACATAGGGATCATTCAACGGCGCAAATGGGGCACAAACACAGACAACAAGACAACAGGACACAGGGCACCCAAACCTGGAGGCCTGGAGCACAATGAACGGGATTCATACACCTCAAAACACTCAAAAACTACTGTGTGCCTGTGTCTAAGCAGTAAGCACACTAGGCCACTATCATCGTGCACAGTAAACAGCAGTTCCAATGTTACATTCAGCATTGCAAACAGGTGACAGAAAACAGGCCACACCCACACCTTCAGCTTGACCATCAAAGCATCAACCAACGGTTGAACGGTACAAGACTAGCTTGCCACACATTGCGCACATGCACAGAGGATGGACAGTTCTAGCACCACAGATGGCAGATACATGGATCATACACGTTGCTAACCTGGGACGCAGACACAGAGATGGCATGTATGGATCATACACACACACACATTCCTACTTTCTAGGCCGCTGGCACACATACAAAATATATGGATCATACACATTTGTGCTTTGTCCGTGGCAGAGACACGGATGGCGTGTGTGGATGTGGATCATACACAGCACTACACATTTACCGAGCTCCCAGTCCCAAACCCAAAGCTGGCGCGATTCCCTCACACCGAGCAGCAACCGGCGGGCACAAAATCTACAAGCTGCACAAGCATACATACGTCCCCAGAGACACGACGGCAGAGGAGGAGAGCGTGAGGATCGGAGCGGCATTACCGGAGGCAGCAGGGGCGGTCGCGGCGGTGGTGTCGACCTTGGCGCGGGACGAGGAGGAGGAGGAGGAGACGCAGAGGCGGATCCAGCAGACCACCGTGTCGGAACCCTCGCGTCCTCCGGTCCCCCGCTCGCTCCGCGGACTCCCATTCGGCCGGCCCGCCAAGCTCCCGACGCCCATCTCTCCTCTCCTGCAAACCACTAAGTAAGCTCACACCGAGACAACCGCACGCCACACCACCACGGCAAGCACGGGATACTCCGAATCGCAAGGAGTCCGCGGAAGCCGGACAGGAATCGGAATCTCCGGTGCGGGGGAAGCGGCGTGAGGAGGGTGGCAGCCGGCGTGGTGAAGAGGAGAGCGGCAATGGCAGTGGTAGTGGAGAGTGTCGGAATGGAATGGAAGGCACAGAGAGAGAGAGGAGAGGAGACAGGGGGGGAGAGGGTGGTGGGTGGGGCCCACCGGATGTGTTGTGGGGGCGCTAACACAGACAGGCAGGCCGGGTAGGGGGCCGGGCCGGGCGGCAGGGCAGGGCTGCCGGAAATCCTACGCATATGCATTTGCATTTTGGTGTGCGGGTAGGCCGTGCTCCATTGGTGGCGGCGGTCATGTTGGGGCGACCTCGTCGGCGGCGATGATGACTGGGGGTATTAGCGACGTGGCGGTAGGGAGTCGACCAAAGTGGGCGAAACACAGGGTTTTTTTTACCGTTTCATTTCATTTCAGGGACCAAGATGATGCGACGCTCTACTAGGACGTGACGGCTCGTCTTTACGTAGGTGGTAATGTCAATATAGCGTGTTTTACCTTGGAGTGCAAGTTATTCGTGATCTGAAAAAAATAGGCAAATTTTGCTATAGGACATCCAATTTTAATGGGTCGCACCGTTAACGGCGAAATATGCCCGGTACCATTACGAAACTGCGTATATTTAACGTAACACGCCGCACCGACTGTTTTATTTATTTTTTAGATTTCAAGAGAAAATGTGGGATAAATGTTTCTTCTACCCTTGTCTTCAACCTCCGGCTGGTCAATGATTATTTCCCGTAACACACCGCCACCGCTGATTTCGTCGTCCGCCGACGTCCAAGATGGCATTCGCCACCTCAAGTAGGTAGCTTCCATTCCGGGGAAAGTCATGGTCCTCGTTAACACCCACACCAGTGGCGGTGGCAAGAGGCTCTCCCACCACCACCAGCAATGTATGCAGTACCGGCACCAGCGTCGGCACGTAAATTACCATTGGCGGTGCCATCGCAAGTGGTGGCATCATCAGTGGCTCCTGCAGCGGCAGGTGGCACCAGCGGCCACTCAGGCTCTAGTGGTGGTGGCTGCACAAGCTGCGGCACGTTCGCCACCATCGGCGCCGTACAAGTGGCGGCACCATCAGTGGCTCCTGCTGGGACAACACAGTCACCGCCGTCACAGCTTCTTCCGGTTCGGGTGGCGGAACGACCACCGTTGTGCCTGAGATTAGCGAGTTCATGCGCTCCTAGACAGAATTCCTGAGCATGTATGTAGGGACATACCTAAGTGCTGAAAGTGAGGAATTGAAGATTCTTTTATTGATCATGACTTGCCATCAGGCGTTTAGAGTACAAGTTACACTGTTTGAACTCTGAATAGGAGAGAGTGTCAAGTACAGCACCGTCGCGAATGGGCCTTGTTGTCCAGTGGTAGGACAGTCTAGTCCAGTGGGACGCTACCCACCAGGGTTCAAATCCTGGTGTCGTACCTATTTTCTGAATTTTTTTTCCAGAAAAAGCAGGGTACACTCACGCATGCATGTTCAGTGGTACTGCGTGTTTCCCACACACTGCAGGCTAGAGAGCCTCTCAATCTCTTCTTTGCGTGTGTACGGACGTGCACGTGTGTGTATGCGTGTGGGAAACGCGCACTGGAGACTAGAGAGCCTCCCACTCTCTTCTTTGAGTGTGTACGGACGCGCACGCGTGTGTGTGCGTGTGGTAGGCTCCTAATCTCTTCTTTGCGTGTGTACGGGACGTGCACGTGTGTGTGCGTGTGGGAAACCCGCACCGGAGGCTAGAGAGCCTCCAATCTCTTTTTTGCGTGTGTACGGACACGCTCACGTGTATGTGTGTGTGGTGTGAGTGTGAAGTGTGTGGGTTGTATGCGTCCAAGTCGTACCCGATAAAAAAAGGTGCTACACCGTCAAGTGCCAGATAGATCGTTGGAGAAATTGTCACAAAGATAAATGCCATTGTATAGGTCATGGTGCCACACGAGATGATACACATGAAAATGTGATGGCTGGAGTAAAGCTTAAGGATATGTCTCCGAAGGAATCCACTGACTGCTAGAAATGTGGTGGCAATAAAGATATGCTTTATTCTCAGTTTACTGAGATGCTTTATTCTCAGTTTACTGAGAAGGCAGAATCTCTGTTGATTATTCAATGCTTTCAACTTCAAGTAAAATTTGCAAAGTTCATGACAGCACTGTTCGTGAAAATCGTTGTCTTACTGCTCATGACCAGCGTGCTGGGTTGGAACCTGAACCGGAGCAATCCAACAAGCAAGCTCTTGGTGCAGAAAACCATGAAGGCTTAAGAAATTTGCCTTGCATGCCAGCAGTTGAACAAGGGATTGAAGATTGGCACTTTCAAAATTTATGAGTGCGTTTTGAATTCTATCATCAAAATATTCTAGTTTTCTAAAAGAAAATTCACTGATGAAAGATTTTGTCTCTATCAAAATTTGGAGTGATTGAAATTTTGACGTGACTGATCCTCGAGTGTACAGTACATATTATAATGGCGTCCTCCAGCCGAAGCATTTGTAGACGGAACTAGCAGACAAAGGCAATCGGCTTTATCACATTTTACGTGGTCTGATCAATTTATTGGTCTGGCAGGGATTAAGTACTGCTCAAATTTTTATTGAGCGGATTAAATGCTTGCAACGTCTAGAATTCGCGCAAAGATTTTGGATTTGTGTTCGTCACAGCGTGCCATCCTTCCTGGGCCAGACGCGTTGAAGCAAGAACAGGCCCAATTCCTTAACCTCGTGGGTCACAGTCACAGGCCTCAGGCCCGGAAGAGTTGTGGGTGGGCCATTTTCCTGGTTTCAGAAAAATGGGCTAGCCATTTTCACGATTTCAGAGAAATGTTGTGGAATAAAGGAAAAAAGAAAGGGCGTGGCCGGCGCCCGGATGCTAGCCCCCTGTCCAGACGCCTATGCCGTTGCCCCCCGTCTCGCATCCCGCATCTGCCTGCCCACGTCTCGCCTGCTTTGCCCACCCGCAAACACTTGGGCTTCGCCCCGCGCCAGTGGAGACCGCCTTCGCCTTCCCGCGGCTGACACCGAGACGAGACAAACAGAAAGGCGAGGAGGAAGATGCAACACTCGATCTAGCTTGAAACATCCATATGCAACAATTGCAACATACGTCTGAAAACAAATAAAACAATTGAAACATGTGTCTGAAACATTTGCAAAAAAAAAAACTTGAAAAACACTTGAAATCATTATAAACATATGCAACATCCAAATAAAACACTTGCATCATATGTGTGAAAACATATGCAACATCTAGATAAACACACTTGTAACATACGTCGGAAAAAGAGATGAAACATTGAGAACAGGAGCTTGCAGCATACGTGTACAACCATTGCAACATGTGCAACATCCTGATCTACTTTTGCAATATCTATATGAAACACTTGCAACATACCTCTGAAACATTTGAAACACTTGAAACAGACGCTTGCAACATGCGTTTTCACCCTTCTTCCGTATGATGAAACACTTGAAACAGACGCTTGCAAAATGCAAGATAGATCATTGGAGAAATGGTCACAAAGATGAATGCCATCCTTAGGTCATGGTGCCACACGAGATGATACACCTGAAAATATGATGGCCAGAGAAGAGCTTAAGGATATGCCCTCGGAGGAATCCAACAACTACAAGAAATGTGGTGGCAATAAAGATATGCTTTATTCTCAGTTTACTGGAAAGGCAGAATCTCTGTTGATTGTCCAAGGCTTTCAACTTCAAGTAAAATTTGCAAAGTTCATGATAGCACTGTTTGTGAAAATTGTTGTCTTACTGCTCATGACCAGCGTGTTGGGTTGGAACCTGAACCGGAGCAATCCAACAAGCAATCTCTTAGGCCTTGTTTGGATGTGCATGTATTCATCTCAATCCAAATTTCACTCCAATACACTTTAACACATGTGGATTGAAGTCGATATACATGCATCCAAACAAGGCTTTAATTGGTGCAGAAAACCATGAAGTCTTAAGAAATTTGCCATGCATGGCAGCAGTTGACAAAGGGATTGAAGATTGGCAATTTCAAAATTTATGAGTGCGGTTTGAATTCTATCACCAAAATATTCTATTTTTTAAAAGAAATTTCACTGAAAGATTTTGCCGCTATCAAAATTTGGAGTGATTGAAATTTTGACGTGACTGATCCCCGAGTGTACAGTACACATTATAATGGCGCCCTCCAGCCGACGCATTTGCAGACGGAAAGACAAAGGCAATCGGCTTTATCGCATTCAACTTGGTCTGCTCGATTTATTGGTCTGGCAGGGATTAAGTACTGCTCATTTTTTTTTTTGATTGAGCGGATTAAATGCTTACAAACGTTTAGAATTTAGAATTCGCGGAAAGATTTTGGATTTGTGTGTGTCACAGCGTGCCATCTTCCTGGGCCAGACGCGTTGAAGCAAAAACAGGGCCAATTCCTTAACCTCGTGGGTCACAGTCACAGGCCTCAGGCCCGGAAGAGTTGTGGGTGGGCCATTTTCCTGGTTCCAGAAAAATGGGCTAGCCATTTTCCCAATTTCAGAGAAATGTTGTGGAATAAAGGAAGAAAAATGCTTTACACATGAGTTTGGGCTTCTAGAAACACTTGGATTTTTGGGCAGATAATGGTTTATCCGAGGATAATGCAAGAACATACTACCAATCACGCCACGCAAGCATATGGTTAGTATCTGGCAAGCTCAATGAGGCACATGATCAATCATGCGTGTGCAAATACAAGCGCAATCACAGCTGGAGCTCGTTAGAAACCAATCAGGATGGAAATGGACACGCACGCAGCATAATAACTAACACCACGTGCAATACAAAATTCAGCAAAGACCCAAACACCATGGAGACGCATCACTGCTTGCTACTACCTGGCTATAGCTTCGATCACAATAATAAGTGTATATATATATTTCTTCCGGGATCAAATTAAGATGTCTACAGCACTGGTGACTGGACTGCTTGCTAATACTAATCATCATTCTAGAAAAAACAAGATCTACGGCACTGGACTGCTAATCATGCTGCTATGCTACACCACCAAAACGCCAGCACATAGAATAGAGGTTACCAGCACAGCACGCTGGTGTGGTGTCCCCTTGATTCCTTCCGAGAGTTACCCTTTGGTTAGGACTTAGCAGATGAACAAAATATTTGTGGCAGGCTACGGTTAGTTATATATAATATATATATGTATGTGATACTAGATATGACGCAGCAGGCTGGAAGGTGAGATGGATCATCAGGATGAGGTTATCCCAGACTCCAGCTCAGGGACCAAGCTGTTGGGCTTTCTGCTCCTCCCAGACCAAGCCGATGTCATACTCCGGGACATAGTCCTGGCCAAAAACAAAACCGATTGAACTGAACAATCAGTGAACTAACAAGCAGTTTCATATTACTCTAGGAACGCTGAATATAAACAAGAGCAATGTAGCTAGCAAGGGGCCGGGTCAAACCTCCAACTTCATAACTAGCTCCTTAGCTGTTGGGGCTGAGATGATGATGTGCCTCGCTGCCTCCGTGATGAAACCTTCGTTGACAGCCAAGTCGATGAAAGACAGAAGAGGGTCATAGAATCCGTCAACGTTCAAAAGGCCAACCTGGTGGTGACGAAATTTTCAAGAAATTACATGAAAGCAGTAGTAATATTGGATATGATTGGTGAATGATCCATTCATACCAGCAGAATCGTATCTGATGATATCACAACATGAATAAATAGCAACTTTGTGGGGGCCATTGAGCTCATAATAGAGACAGATAAGGGATACAAGAAGAGAAGCATAGACTTGACCGTTCTAATCCTCCCACAACCCCACCCATTTTGTATCTCACAAGCCAATTATGTAGCATACAGAAGACCAAACATTGCGTTGTGCATGCAACACGTCATACACTATTAAGATCCTCCAGCCATCATTCCATTAGCCGTGTGGGAATATTCATAAACTATGATGAATATCTTATTAGAGTGCGATATAAAAGATGGAGAATGCAGATCGCATGCCCTAGGTCTCGACAATATTCTGATGCAGTGACGTCCACAACATGTTGACTAAACTATCATTTCAATAATTTGATGGCTAGCTGTGGACGTAAGGATGAAACCTATTTAGTCACATGTGAACAAAGCAAGATCCAACTGAGGCCATAGGCCACACAGCTGCTGGTAGCTCATCAGTGATGAGCATCAGTACTAGTACAATTATTATTGGAATTGGAAGTGGACAGCACTGCTGGCTATGGTTTCACATCGAAAACATTGGCGTACGGGCAATTGCAACATACGGAGTACTCCTCCCAGACGCCAATGATCAATATTGAGAGCTACTCCAGTACGGTTTCACATCGAAATCATTCAACCGGGCAGCTCAATTAGATCAGAGTCGTCGGATCAGACGCTCTCACCCTCGCGCGTCGATCCCTCAACGCCTGATGATTCCTCAGGTACGCTGAAAAGCGGCAGGTGACGAGCGTTCCGCGGGTCGTGATGAGAACGGTCACCTTTCGTTCTCTTCTCTAGCACGTATAATCCACTATACCAACCAGGCAACCACACTGCCCTCCTAACAACGTACAGTAGGATCGATCGGAGGAGCCCGGGACAGCACCGCCGGCGGCCGGTCCCCGTCCTGCTAGCTGCGGCTTCTACTGGCCGAGTTTTGTCCCGTTCGCTTGGCTGATAAGCCATGACTAAAAGTACCTTTGGCTCTTTGGCTGATTTGTTATCAGAGAAAAATATTAGCTGAAAAAGTACGGCTTCTAAGCTAAGCGAACGTGGCAAAGCTCGGCCAGTAGAAGCGGCACGGATGACTCATTGACACATCGGACGTCGCTTCTAGCTTTAATTAATTAATTTCATCCCACTTGTGTGGATTTACTACGGCGTGCGCATGGGATAAGATGGATCGGCTGCTCCAGCGCCAGCGGAGAAGACCACCGCCTCAGTTGGATGTTGCTCTCGCGGAGATCATGTCGGGGTTCCCCCCATGGATGGCCCATGGGGCATCAGATCACAACGGCTCTAACGACATTTTAGGGCGTGTTTGCGACCCTGTACCTGGCCGGCCTGGCCAGCCCAACTGTCTCAGGCCTGGGCAGACCTGCCCCAAGTGGTGCAATAGCTCTTGTTTGTGTCTGTGTACCCAGTGAGCTCAGCTCAGGCGAGGCTGTGTTTGTCATCGAAGAGGCAGCCGGGCTGAGAGGCTAACCGTCACCAACTACCACACCGAGATAGTGTTTGTCATTTGGCTGTGGTCGGCCAGGCCCAAAACAACAAATAGAAATGGACATGAATGAAAGGAGAATGAGGTTGCTCTTCCATAACCGTTATAACAACAAATCAAAGTTTCAACATGAAATAGTTGGCCTCAGACATGCTAATTTAACAATTCATGGCATTACTGGCTACATGGGATAATCAAAGTCAGTAAAGAAGAACAGAAGCATGGGTCAGTCAAGTTTTGAAGCCAACAAACGAAAAAATTTACAGAAACAGATAAGAGGCAGCAAAATGATATGTAGCCAGCTAATGCATCGATCCATTGTGTCATCATTGGCCAAAATACAACATTTAACAGTTTGGCAAGCCGAGAAGGGCAACAAGTTAACAGAAAGCATATAGCCAGCTAATGCAGCCTATTGTGTCATCATCGGCTTAATTAAAACAACAGCTGTGGCACATGAACAGCTTGAGTGACAGACCAACTACAACCATAAATAAGATCAAGATGACAACATTTTTACAACAGCCTTGCAGCCCAGGTGAATGAGGATAGATTTCAGAACCTTGACCTGTCACCAGTTCATGGGATGCTGATGCATCCCCATGAGGGGCATGAATTGGTAACAGCAAGGGTTCTTGAGGTACCCTTGCATTAAAATCTCTAAGAGCATCATCATAGTTGTTGTACTTCTGATAGATAGCCCCTTCTTCCCTAAGCACTTGCTTAGCACACTCATACCATGTAAAATAAATCCCAGGTTTCTTCCCTTCAAAGACCACATAGCAGGGAGGTATTCTCTGAAACCAACCAAATGTAGAACATGTAAGTGATCTGAATGACATGCCTTAGTCGACCATTCAGTTTGAATGATGGTGAACATCATCGGCAACTTGATAAAAAAATTAGCCTCAGCTGTTATTTTCCTTGTTTAGTCATTGGTGGCTACCAAGAATTGTAAGAACCAAATAAAGAGGCAAATAAACAACAGTTGCACTCACTGCCATCAGCCATCACAAGAGGATGTTGTTGCTGTGGAGTACAACTGAGCATAAGTGTAGAATGGAAGGATAGGCAAATAAAGAAGAAAGCACAACAACAAAACCATCAAAACAAGAATAAGGTAGCCACCTCAAGTTTGCTTTATGCATCATAGGCCTTTAAATCCCACAGTTACCACCAGAGACATAAACAACAAAAATAGGCAACTAGTTATCAAATAAAAAGTAGCCAACAGAGGCTACAAATAAGTTTCTTACAATACCAAGTTGAGCCCAACAGCCAAGAGCTCAAATGTTCCCAAATCCTTGCCTATTGTTAGCCACCCTCCTAGGCAAACTACACCATCAATGTCAGGTGTCAAAAGAACAAGCAGACTGCACAAAAGGTCATGTTGTCAAAAGAAGAGAGAGTGGGTGAGGGGGGGGGTGGAGGAACTATACATCTCTACAGTCAACCCCCTCCTGGCCTTCTAGCCCTTAATGTGTAGTGGAACTACACATAGTAGTTTTTGGCCAGGAAGGTCCTAAGCCAAAGGGCCCTGTGGGCATCACTCATGTTCACAAAGCCCCTGCCTTGGGCCTTGTTGTCCAGGAGGAAGGTGTAGGCAACAATAAGTGCCTCCTCACTGAAGCCAGGCATCTCCATTACAGCAAGGTACAGATTGGCATCAACATGGGCAGGTCCAGTCTCCCTAAGAGCATTGGCCACATTGTTCACAGCATCTGACATGTTAGTCAACATGAGTATCTCCTCCTCAGAGAAGTTCCCTCTCTTCCTCTTTGGGCCAGCAGCTGAGGAGGTAGGAAGCAGTTCAGTGGCCTTGCTATCCCCTCCCTGTTCACTGGGAACTGTGGTGTGGGTCAAAGGAGGACTATCAGCCTTGGCACCAACACTGTCAGCCTGGTTCTGCCCTAAGGCTTTACCAGACCCAAGTGCAAACTTGCCTGTGGCCATGGCATTAGCAAAGATAGCCTCCATCTCAGTGTAGAACCTAATAAGGCAGTTAAGAAACTCTGCATCTTTAGGATGGTCCTGCAGAGTTGGGCAAATGTAGTTTAAGAAAGGCAAATGTAGGTAGTCAAGGCAAAAACGAGATCAAACTGCTACCTTGCAGTGGCCAAGGTAGTGCTCTTGCTCAAGCATGATAGCATGAGCCTGGTCATCCCAAAGAGCAGCACTAAGGTCCTTCAACTTGCTCACCCTAGCCCATTTCTGCCTCCACTTCCTCAAGTGGTTGTACACTTGAGTTGGGCTAACAACCTCCCCACAGAACTGCTTGAGGGCTTTGGCCACAGAATTCACATCTTTGTCCTTGAAAACATTTTCAGGCCTGCTACCATCACTAATAAGGGCAGCCATCCTCCTTAGCACAAAGCCAGAGGTGGTGTTGGTCCACCTCATTGCCCGCACAGCCCCATTCCCAACTAGAGGAGCAGCAACATCAACAGGGTTTGCTGCACCTGGAGCAACACCAGCACCAGCACCAGCTGCAACAGGGGCAGCAGCACTAGCACCAGCACCAGCTACAACAGGGGCAGAACCACCATTGATGAGCTGCTCCATCACTAAAGTACCAGCAACAAACCCACCCTCAAATGCACCTGAATCCATCCTAGGACTGGCATGTAATGAAATCAACAACAGAATTAGTCAAGAACAGACTGACAACAATATTAACAGTTGTATGAACTTACCACAGACTGACAGATCATGAAGAACAGAATGTTTCAAGAACAGAATGAATGAAGCATAAAATTGGTCTCAGCTTTGTCCACCAAATTATTATATCACCATGACACACACATGAGTTCCATAGCAGGGTATAGAAACTAAATTCAAGAACATATTACATCAACTAGTGTTTGTTCCCCTCCCTTCCCACATAGCATTACAAATGGCATTCCTTATTTCAGCCATGTCAACAGAGTCTTGGTCTAGATGGGCTGGGGGCAGGTTGGTTGGATCAGTAGAAGTAGTGAAACCTTCCTCATCAGGCACTACTTCATCAATGCCGAAACCTAGGATCCAGTTATGCAAAATGGCACAGGCAACTACAAGCTTCACTTGTGTCCTATACTTGTGGAAGGGTTTGTTGTCTAAGATCCTAAACCTGCCCTTCAGTGCACCTATAGCCCTCTCCACAGTCACTCTAAGTGATGAGTGCCTAAGGTTGTAGAGCTCCCTTGCATTGGTGGGCCTGTTCCTTGGGCCATACTCAGACAAATGGTACCTAACCCCCCTGTAGGGAGGTAGGAAACCATTTTTGCATGCATACCCAGCATCTACCAAGAACATTTTATCTACACAAGACATCTACTGTGAGAGTGTGTGTTAATAGGCCATGGAATATGTAATTAGTGTTGGTGTGCAATTACCTTCTAGCAAACTCAAGCCATCTTCCCAGGCTACATCATCTGCCAAAACAGTTGCATCATGGGCAGAGCCCTCCCAGCCAGCCAGGACATAAGTGAATTTCATATCACAATTCACAGCTACCATCATATTTTGTGTGGGATCCTTTTTCCTACCCCTAAAAGCTTGTTGCATGCGCCTAGGAACCCTTGCTAGGAAATGAGTGCCATCTATAAAGCCAATGACATCCTAAAAAGCATGGGTCAGTCATTGCAACAGGTCTAATGTAACTAATGAACCCATGGTATACAATTACCTTAAAATATGGATTCCATGTATGGCTTTCAAGAATCTTTGGGTGAGTGGTAGTGCTAGCTGGCTTTATCATTTCATTCCTAAGCTCACCCACATCATACAACACCTGATGGAAGTGCTTGTGGACAGTTTGGATAGACCTCCTAAAGAACTGGTGGACAACCCTAAATCTTTGGTTGTGCCCTACAACATGTAAAAACATGGCAACCTGCTCTTCTACTGACACCCTCTCCCTATCAGTGACAAGACTCCTCTCTTTAAAAGTTCTCACTAACTTAAAAAAAGCAACTCTCTTCATACTAATCATAGAAATACACTCTGAATCAGTGAAATTATATATCATTCTCAGTGTTCTCTGTCTGTGCTTTTCATTTTCATCCCTAAGCAGGGCCAGTGCTATAGGATCAGGCAGTGGGGTTTTAGGTTCAGGGGTTTTCCTTTTCAACCTAGTGGATACAAAGGTAACCATAACAACAGTCAAGGCAGCTGCCTTCCTACACAGCATGTCACGGCTCAAAGACAGATCTATCTACAAGCATGTAAAACTGTAACATGATTTCAGCTTAATATACCCTGCTAGGCATCAACATGAATGTGAAATGAATGCATGCCAACAAAAGCACGGCTGCATCTTGTATGTGATGCCTCCCAGTACTATGTGGACAACATCATCGACCAATGATGGAACAAAAACTCAGAGCAATAGTAATCGAAATGATCAACATCCCTAACGGATCAAGAACATCAAGGTACAAGTAACACTAACAAGCTGCATCAAACAGCTTATGAACAAAGAAGGTACAATACAAATCTAAAATGATCAACAACCCTAACGGATCATGAGCCCAACAGATCAAGAACAACAAGGTACAAGTAACCCTAATAGGAGCATGAAGCAGCTTATAACAAGTATGAAACCCTAACGGATCATGAACAACAACGAACAAGAAACCCTAATAGGTTCAAGAAGCACCACAAAAAAAAGATTGAGGTCGATTTCACCTTGGCTCGGGGTCCAAACAACGGAGAGGAGGCAGATCTGGAAGTAGAGGATGCAGATCGGGAAAAAGACGAAGCAGATCTGAGACGGAGAAGAAGAGGAACACCACTGCCACGGTGTCCCAAAGAAGCAACAGTAGCAGGACGCTGGCGAAGAAACTTCGGCGCCGTGACCTAACCCACAACCAGCCGGAGGTCGCCGCCCCTTATCACGCACCACAACTCACCGCCGGTCTCTCACGAGGGAGGTGGAAGAGCCAAGACCGAGTGGAAGAAGGAGAGAGTGGAGAGTGGGAACCCGTATATAAAGGCCGGTGAAATCGCCGCCATTTCGCTTCGCGCGCGGCGTCCAGAGCGGGAGCGGAGAGCGGGGACGCCACAAGACGCTTCCCCTTCCGCCAGAGCCCACTGAGCCACCCTGTCGCCGCCCAAAATCGCCCGCGTGCGTCGCAGACGAGCTCGGCTCCGAAGAAACGAGGGTTTCGGTCGTTTCCAGAGAGCCAGGCGGAGAGGTCGAGTGTTGCTCTGCGAAGCCAGGCTCGCTTGCGGGCCATCGACCACAAACATGGCAACTTGCAGCCCACGGGCGCAGCCGGGCCTCCGGGCTAGGGTCGCAAACGCGCCCTTAGTAAACAAATCTGCACTTATGACACCTACAAAAGCAAAATGTGTCGACACAGCACATACAAACAAGTGGATTGCCTCCAGATTAGTAACAATGGATGAGTTTTATTCTAGAAGAAGCGCCTAGAATGGACGAAAGGAAGTTTGGACTTTACCGGCTTCTTGTGGATCCCAAGTTGTACCCAAGTAATGATCTCAAGCAACTCCTCCAGAGTTCCATAGCCACCTGCCAGTTCAATGGGAGGGTAAACAACTACACGCATCATCAGTTTCTGAAATGTTAACTAGAGAATAAAATTGGGTAGACTAGTATATATATACCTGGTAAGGCAACAAAAGCATCGGCAAACCGAGCCATTTCAGCCTTCCTCTCGTGCATGCCAGAAACGGCTCTAACTTCGCCAACAGGTTCTCCAGTTACCTGCAAATCCAGCAATAGAACACAGTAATTAATTAAAGTGCAATGGACTAGTAGCAACAAAGTACATATGTAGGCTTTTGGGCTCAACTCACCTCTCTGGGCATCAGTGATTTTGGAATGATCCTGCCAAAATGAAGAGGGGAAACAGAAAAGGCTCGTTAATTTCTGGCAAAAGAGGTCAAACAAGTACAGGAGCAAGCAGCTGATCCTTTTCCATGTAAAGAAACTAAGCCCGGACAGACACTTGAAATGGGCTAGACCGCTAGAGAGACGGTGTGCAATGATTTGACTTCAACAACGAGAGGGGAAAATTTGAGATAAAAAAAACAAAAAAAAAAAAAAAAACGAGAGGGGCAAAGAGCCAAAGACTTGCTTCGCCGGCTTGCATGCAGCCGAGCCCGAGCACCCTACCCGCCCATTTGGAGCATGGAACCAACTAGCCTTTCGAAAAGAAGACCCAAAAGTTGCTTCCACTTCGGTGAAACGAATGCAATCGGCATGGCTTGCCCCGTGCTCCCCCAACGGGCAATGGAGCGCCCAGACGACCCCAACAGCTGGCTGGCTGACGAAATAAAGCTGGCATTTCTGCAGCCTTGGCTGCTGTTTTGGTGCAGTGAGTTGGTGCCTGGAAACAAAGCGCCCAGACGGGCAGACCCCAGGACCAGAGAGCGCCATGGCATGCAAAGACCACCACAACAGCACCCAAGCAAACAAGAACGGCAATGGCGGGATAGCCGGATAGGAAGGGGAGGGGAGAGAGATGAGAGAGATGGCGATGGATACTAACCCCATGACATGGCGACCTCCGGCGTGAACTGCGTGGGAGACCGATCCCATGAGGCCGATGGAGCCCCCGCCGTAGACCAGGTCTATGCCCCGCTCCACCTGCACGGCCGGCCATTGCATCGCATTAATTGATGGTGAAACAGAAGGATGGAAAACGCAATCATCATCAGGAAGAAAAAAGCTCGCTCTACTGCCTGTCTAGTCAATTCGTTCACGTCCATCGGAGGAAACGAGACGAAATTGAACCGTGGTGCATGCAAGCGATGCAAATGCAAATATGCAATGCATGAGGGTGCCGTGGAGAAATTTGTGCGCTCGGGCAAGCAAGCGATGCCAGGGCCACCACAGGGTGATGACGCGAAGCAGTCAAGCCCCAAGGGGAGACGGGAAAGGAAAGGAAAGGAAATTCAGATGGCAAGGCGTTGCACTGGCTGTCGGTCTCGTCATTGTAGAGCAGCGATTTTCCTAGCTAGTACTAGTGAATTGGCGGGGTGGTGGGATGCAACGCTGCTGCACGATTCCATCACCTGACCTCCCCTCCTCTGATACACAGGCAGGCAGGGAGGCAAGGCAGCTCATGATGAACAGGCAAGGCCAAGTAGTAGTCGATGACATGAGGCCACGACGTCGATGATGCTCTCACGCGCACACAGCTCATCCTCATCGACGAGACTCCCATTCCCATCCCATGGCGACCAAATTAACAAGTACATGAATGTAAGAGAGGAACAAATTAAATCGTGCGCCTCCAAGCACATCGCAAAGAAATCGATAGGCGAATGGAGGCACAGCCGGCCTCCCATGGAACTGAACACAACGGGAGCTAGTGAAACGAAACCCCAAAACATGGTTGCGTTGCGTTCGTTCTAGTACTACTAGTACACGAGGAGAGAAGTGGTGTGGATCATGCACGGCACGGGATGGGCGGCGTACGTACCAGCTGGTTGCCGAGTTGGATGGCCGCGTCCTGGTAGCTGGCTTCTTCCCCTTGGCGCTGCCGAAGTAGACACAGATCCGCCGGAAGCGGGACCGGCGCTCCGCCCCGCCGCCGCCCGACTCGGTCGCCACCTTCGCGCCCGCCGCGGCGGTCCCGGTCCCGGTGGACGACGCCGCGAGGCCCGCGATGACCGGAGCCGGCGCGGGCGCCTCCGACGCGACGGCAACCGCCGTGGCTGGGGTCATGGCGACACGGGACTCGCAGGCGCAGCACGTCTTCGGTCGTTGCTGCGTGGTGCCTGCAGGAGGGGGAGGGGGAGGGGGAGGGAGAGGGAGTCGTGAGGGGGGCCGGGAGGACTGGAGGCACAGGCACGTCTCCCCTCCGATTTATAGGCGTGCCCCGTTGGCCCCGCACGTCTGTTTGCCTTTGCCTAGGGTTGCTTCTCGTCCAAGGGACCCACACGCTTGTCCTTTTTTTTTGTGCGCGTGTGTGTTTCATTCTCAATCACTCACAGCATGTTTCATGGTTCGAATTTGAATTATTGACTATTGTGTGAACATCCTTCAAGGTGGGAGGAGTTTTCTTTTATATCAGTGGACATGTGCGATGAATGAAATAAACAATAGCGTATACATTTCTTAGTTCCCATGTTTATTAGTACTACAATATAGTAGTACAAAAGATTCAGAAATACAGACCGAGACATACTAGAGTTTAGTTACTAGTTTTTAGTGTCACACAGTCCATGGACTACTTTCCCCCCTTATAATTTGTACACTGGTCCATTTGTGGTCTGTGAACTGATAATGATGTGGGTTTTTTTTATTATTATTATTTAGGTTGATTTATTCAGGGACCGAGCAGGGAGTATAATCTTGTGATGCAGTGATTAATTGCCATGGGATTAAAGTGACATGGAGCGAGATTGAACTCAATTACTCAAGGCAGGTCAATCTTGTGAATTGCATGCTGCTACTCCTACCGCTGAGCATCATACATGCAAAAGCTCAAAAAGCATATAGACTATTAGCCTGTTCGTTTTGGCTTATACGATCGTTTCAGCCTGTGGATTATAAGCTGGAACAGTATTTTTCTCTCACATCAAACCAGCCAGTAGTACTTCTGGCTTATAATCCAAGATCGTTTCAGCTGAAACTGTCCATAGATGCATAGGATTACTTTCACCGTACAGTTGAGTGCACATGTTAGTAGCACTACTGCTTTTGTTTATATTATTAATGTACAGTACAGTACAGTACAGTCGATCATCCCAATGATGATACTGCTACTCTAATGCCCAATGCCCCAATGCATGCACGCAACGCGATTAACATCCGGGATTATAGTAATAAATAAACAAACACTGCCCGAAGCAACGACGTCAGCCGTTACGAGCGAGAGCGACTGAAAGCCAGAGCAATGATCCTGAACATGTGGACCAGGGAAAGGAAGGAAAGGAAAGAAAGGAAAGGAAATGCCTGAAAAACACCAACAAGTCGGGTGGGAGGACGAGGAGGGCTCTGCCCCTGTGCTGCTGTGCATGCATGCGCACATTAATTAATCACTTTAGTTACATAATTATGACTATTAGTATGTGTTTATGTAATGTACTCGTACCAACTGCACACTAGGATTAATCGCAAAAAAATGCACACTAGGATTATTTTAGGCGTAAATAAATAAGTGAACTAAAGTCAATTACTGTTCCGAACTTTAACTGCACGTCACTTGTGTTTAAGTGTTGCCTTTATACTGTAGTATATATATATATATATATATATATATATATATATATATATATATATATATATATATATATATATGTTTTAGTAGATTTATAAGCGATACGAGTGAATGGATTTTCTTGAAAACTAGTGTCACGAGCGTAGCTCACATTTTTTACACAGTGGATAATATATACTGCAATTAAAAAATAGACAAAATTTGAAATCTATAGTTGACTACGGATAGGGCTCAGAAACCGAGAAAGATTAGCGCATGGTCCGTAGCATGCATCTGATATAGTACTACTACTCCTCTTATGGTGGTTTCTCTCATTGTCCCATTATCATCCAATCAGTTAGTAGCTACTTTTGAGGCGCCCTGACCCGGATGCGGATGGGGGGTCCGGTTAGTCCAGTCAATGTCGTGCAAGATCAGGATTCAATCATTCATTCATGGTTAATTATAAAAATAAAATAAAATCGGCTGGGCTGGCTGGTATAACTCCGGCACCCATTTTTCTTCTTCTTTATTAGTAGAGATAAAAATAAAATAAAAACCCTCAGCTGCTTCCCCAGACGAAACCAGCGCCTACTTGCTAGGCCATGCTGGTTGTGGAGTTTCCTGCTCGATCGGGTGTCGTTGGTGTTGGTCATCCATCGTCCCCGTCCCTCTTGGAGTTGGGAGTCTGTCTCAGTCCAATGCAAACTCAACTGCTGCCACTTGCCTTATCATACTCCACACCGACATCCCCAACTTGGCGATTCATCAGCAGGTTCAGGTTCAAGGTTCAGTTCCTCCCCTTGAACCCCGAACGAAACAAAATCATGCTCCCGGCCCGTGTGTGTATATATACTGTTTTACTATAATACACCTGGATACATCATGTATATAGAATGCACCTAGGCACATCATGTATATATAATGCACCTAGGCCGGCGGGTGCACCAACTTGAAGCAACAAGCGCGCCCAAGCGAACATGCAGTGCATGCTTCCCTAAGTTAAGTTGTATCTTCCACCTACCACGTAAAGCCACCTACCATACAAATCCCACTAGACTGCATGCATGCATGCATGGAATTTTTTGTTTGTTCGAATCTTTAAAACAAATTTTCTCCTAAACCATAACCCCGATTGACAAACCGTTTGTTGCATCCGACTCAAAAAAAAATATTCTGAACAAAACTAGATCTAATATGGATATATTTTTTATCCTTTAAGCGAGTTGCATGTCAATGTACTACCGATTGCAACTCTGTCTACCACCTAGTTGCAACTAGTTATAACTATGTGTATTATATGCATCTGGTCACTATAATCACGCCAAGTTGCAATTCTGAGTTGCAATCATATCTGAATAGCAACTGTGTTGCAATTGAATAGTAACTAGTTGCAATCAGTAGTAATTGGTTTGCAATCGGGTAGTAACTTGTTACAACCAGTAGTAATTGTGTAGTAACGAGTTGCAACCAGTACTAACTGGGGTTGCAACTGGACAAGTGCATCTACCAACTAGATTGCAAGTGAGTACTTGTTAGCTACAATTGAGTACTAACTGGTTGCATTTCTATTCAGTAGGAGTTGCAAGCATACCTGGTTACAATCAGAGTAATAACTGGGTTGCAACTAAGTAGTGAATAATTACAGCCAGAAGTAACAAGGTTACACTAGATTATAAGTAGTTGCAACCAGTGCTAAATACGTTACAGCCAAGTTGCAATTGTGTTGTAGAAGTGCTTGCAACTCATAGTACAACATATTGCAATTACGTATTTGAAAAAAAAACTTCATCAAATACACCCTTCATGGATCTCGTTTTGTTAAGCATAATTTTTTCAACAACCTGCTTCAAACAGATCTAAAATCGGATTTGTGGTTTAGAAGATATCGCATTTTTTCGTTTGGAATCAACGAAAACTTCCCTACATGCATGCTTCCTGGTGGATGAGTTGAGCTGTTAGGTGGCATCACGTAGTTGGTTATCTCCATTTAGTTTTGTATGCAGGTGCGTGGACTTACCTTGCGCTCGCCGCGCATCTCGCGGCTCGCACTCCAGGGAAAGAAAGATGCATGGAGTGGGGAATTTTTAGTAAGAAGAGAGTTGAGACGATGCGCAACTATCAGTGCTGGAACAACACACCAGCGCTGGTGTGGCTGCACGCTTGCAGCTAGCAGCAGCTCTTGATGGCTGAGGCTGACGACGCAGCGGTGGGCGGCGAGCCGCTGATCGGGCTGCCCGGCTGCCCGACCCGCTGCGGAGACGTGAGCGTGCCATTTCCGTTCGGGCTGGAACCCGCCCGGGTGCCACCTGAGACCATCATCGTTCAACCTCACCTGCAAGCCCGCTGGCACAGGCAAGGCGTTGTGGATCGCTGACGAATACGCCGGCGCCACCGCGGCGCTAATCCTGAACATCTCCCTGGATGACTCCACCGTGCGCCTCATCCACTTGCCGCTCCCTCGGGAGCTATTGGGGCAGCAGGACGACATGGGCCTCCACTTCGCGGTTCAAGAGCTGCGGGAATGGGAGCTGGAATCCAGCGTCGTGCCATGGCAGCTGAACGAAGCGCGCGCCGGGAACGCGACGTGCCCAGCAGGTTTGTTGGGCACCAGCGCATGCCATAGCAGTCACAGCACCTGCCATCCCACCAGCCGTACGGTTAACTACATCACCGGCTACGTATGCCGATGCGACAATGGTTATCAAGGCAACGCCTATCTCAGCGACGGATGCCATGGTATTTATTTCCTTATTTGTTTTTCTATTTATACTAGGTAGCGTGATTATGTGTTGCTACGGGACAACTAAACTTTTGTATAAAAAACACACGGATCGCACGATAAGAAAACAATACTGTGAAATTAAATACCCATGTTAAAGTGACATTTAAACAAAAATCAAAATTCGTGAAATTAACACAGTCACGTAGAGCGCGGCGTCGCAGGCATAGACCTTTCCGTGATGCGGCTAAGATAATGTTTTATATAGGTAGGAAGAAATCTACGATATCCATTTCTTTCGTGCGCCAATAAATTCACAAATAAGTTCCGCCGCATCTTCATACTATCTTGTACACATGCTCAAGTATATATGTAAATATTAGTGCCTGTCACATGGGTAATACTACGTGTCTTGAAAAATCTCTCACAAAACCTTAAAATAAAGTATATTACCTGTGCTAACGCTATGGTGACGTCTAGGGAAAAAAATCATAAAACTAAAATAAAACATAAAACTAAAAAAGTTCTCATATGTCGCATCCCATAACCTCACCTGTACAAAATGTCACGCTCAAAAATAGGAAAAGCAGCACGAGAAAGCGTTCAACAACAGTGAGCATCTAGTGTGAAATTGAATAAATACAAAGCTGATAATACATAGAGATAGAAAACTCATTTAATTATGAACATGAACAACCAACTAACAAAGCATCTTGCAAACCAGATGGGTACTCATTAATCTTTTAACTCATTTAACTTGCATAAATTACAAAATATTTTAGTATGGGCACTCATTAATCT